GTGTGAGGAAAGCAGCTTGCATTCCTGGAGTGAGTAGCTGGTGCCAGGGCAGGCAGACGGGACACTGTCCTACAAAAATTTGAGTGTGTATGCTCTGGTGGATTTGATCGTGCCCTACAGGACTGGCACAGATGCTTACCTATATTCCGACCCTCTCAGCTGCAGTCACTTTCTTAAGCTGTATCTGTTGGAAGACTTAAAGGGCCAGTACCTTTGGGGGGTTTTTTAGAGCCAGACATTTAAGAAAATCTTTGTCAGGTCACTAGCTGATCACAGAGGTAACAGAAGTTGCAGAAACTTCAGAGACCACACATAACAAGGAATACACACTTCGCAAAAATAGTTTGAAAAAGTCACAAGCTGGCAACTCCAACCCTCAACGAAGAAAAATCAGCAATCCCTGAGGAGTGGGAAAATCAGATTTCTAGAGTTATCACATTTGTTTTCAAAGGCATAAGTTTTAAACATCTCACTGACTGAAGAAATTAGTCACAATTTAAGGAACATTCGATGAATTAATCTGTTAAAAACTAAAATTACACATTAAGATATAAAATTGCACAATATAAATAGTATAATTTAAACTTGTATGATTCAGGATTCATGACATTTCCTCATAACCACTTTCAACTCCTTAATTACTGTCTCTTTCCTATAAACAGCACCTCTCAGTTCTCAGCCTTATAAGTTATTAAGCAAGGTGCATTTTTATTTTTACTTTTTAATTTTTTTTTTTAAAGATTTTATTTACTTATTTGAGAGAGAGAGAGATAGCAAGAGAGAGCACGAGAAGCGGGGAGAGGAAGAAGCAGGCTCCCTGCTTAGCATGGAGCCTGATGCGGGACTCCATCCCAGGACCCTGGGATCACGACCTGAGCCAAAGGCAGACGCTTAACTGACTGAGCCACCCAGGCACCCCAAGGTGCATTTTTATATATTAAACTAACAAAAAGAAAAATCAGTCTGGGTGAGATTATGGCAGAAGTGTTTCACTTATGCCTTACTATCTTATTTTATAATATATTTGTTTTCATATAAAATTAATGTCTCCAAATAGTTATCAAGTATATCCAATGCTCCAGACACGCCCCAAAGCACCATCTGATATAGGCACTGTAGCTGAGAAGGCATTAAAAGTATTATAGTAGTCATGGGGCGCCTGGGTGGCTCAGATGGTTAAGCGTCTGCCTTCGGCTCGGGTCATGATCCCAGGGTCCTGGGATCGAGCCCCATGTCGGGCTCCTGGCTCAGCGGGGAGTCTGCTTCTTCCTCTCCCTCTGCCTCTCCCCCTGCTCATGCCCTCTCTCTAACTCTGTGTCTCAAATGAATAAATAAAATCTTAAAAAAAATAAAATAAAAAAAAGAAAAAGTATTACAGTAGTCAATATGCAGTATTGGTTATAACATCAAATATTTCAGGTTTGGCCACATGTGAAGAGCTGGAAATTGTCTTACCTTTTGACTCAGTAATCTCACACTTAGGAGTGAGGGAGATTTGGGGGAAATAACCCAACAGAAGCAACAGCAGCACGTCAAAATTTGGCCTTAGGAAATAGGGTCACTGTGGATGTAATTACTTAAATTAGGATGAGGTCATAATCAGTAGGGTGGATTTGTAATTCAGTATGACTAGTGTCCTCATACAAAGATGGCCACATGAAGACAGACACACAGAGAATGCCCTGTGGAAGAGGAGGAGGGTCGGAGTGATGCACCTATGAGTCAAGGAATGCCAAAGATTGCTGCAGACCACCAGAAACTTAGGATGAGGCAAGGAAGGATTCCCTTACAGGTTTCAGAGGGAGTTGGCCCTGGCAACACCATGATTTTGGATGTCTAGCCTCCAGAACTATGAGACAATAAACTGCTATTGTCTTAAGCCACATAGTCTGTGGTGCTTTGTTATGTCAGCCTAAGGAAACAAATACAATGGTCAATTGATTTTTGACAAGGCTGCCAAGACCAGGCAATGCAGAAAGAACCATCTTTTCAACAAATGATGCTGAGAAAACTGGATGTCCATATGCAAAATATGCATGTGGACCCTTACCTTACATCATATACAAAAATTAACTTAAAAAATGAATTGAAGACTAAATTTAAAAGATAAGGATACAAAACTCTTTTTTTTGGTGAAGATTTTATTTATTTATTTATTTGAGAGAGACACAGCGAGAGAGAGAACATGAGCAGAGGGAGTGGGAGAGGGAGAAGCAGGCTCCCCGCTGAGCAGGGAGCCCGATGCGGGACTCGATCCCAGGACACTGGGACCATGACCTGAGCTGAAGGCAGACGCTTAATGACTGAGCCACCCATGTGCCCAAGACTATGAAACTCTTAGAAGAAAGCATACAGGAAAATTTTCATGGCTGTAGATGTAAGATTGATTTCTTAAATGGCACCAAAAGCACAGCTAACAAAACAAAACAAAAATAGATAAGTTGAACTTCATCAATATCAGAAACTTATATGCATCAGAAAACACTATTAAGATATTTTCATATTTTTGACAATTTTTCTTTAATTTTCTTTTTTTTTTAAAGATTTTATTTATTTATTTGACAGAGAGAGACAGCAAGAGAAAGAACACAAGCAGGGGGAGTGGGAGAGGGAGAAGCAGGCTTCCAGCTGAGCAGGGAGCCCGATTCGGGGCTCGATCCCAGGACCCTGGGATCATGACCTGAGCCGAAGGCAGACGCTTAATGAATGAGCCACCCAGGCGCCCCTTCTTTAATTTTCTTAACTACTGAATTCCCCAAAGTATAAAAATTGCCCTAAATTTAATCATAAATAACAAGAAATAAAGCCATGTTGAAATTATTTTGACAGAATGTGCAATTTGCATTTTTTTTAAAGATTTTATTTATTTATTTGAGACAGAGAGAATGAGAGAGAGAGAGAGCACATGAGAGGGGGGAGGGTCAGAGGGAGAAGCAGGCTCCCTGCCGAGCAGAGAGCCCGATGCAGGACTCGATCCCGGGACTCCAGGATCATGACCTGAGCCGAAGGCAGTCGCTTAACCAACTGAGCCAGCCAGGTGCCCTGCAATTTGCATTTTAAAAATGTGTCTGGAAAAATTTATAGTCATCGATATCTTAAATGTGCTGTAAGATTTCTGGAAACTGACTGCAGCATGTAATATGGAAGGCGTGTATCTTGGTGTGCATCTTGGTGTGTTTGGTTTGTAATTTCATCTATAGGAAAATAGGAAAATCATTTCTCTGATTTGTACTAATGATAATGGTGACAGTTTGGATCACTGAAGGAAAAAGAAGTGAAACGTTCATGATGTAGGTGAATGCTGTGATTCTCATTAATAGAGGTGAAAAATGGGGGGAGGGAGGACACGATGAAGAGAGTAAAAAGAAAAACTCACATAATGGTAGAAAATATTTATTTGCAAGTCATGTATTTGATAAAGAATTAATATTTAGAATATATAAAGAACTCCTACAACTCAACAGCAAAAAACCAAATAACCCAATTCATAAATGGACAGAGGACTGGAATAATATACAAATAGTCAATAAGCACATGGAAAGATGTACAATATCATTAGCCATTGGGGAAGCATATATCAAAACCACAATGAGATATCACTTCACACCCACCAGGATGGCTGTAATTAAAAAAATGGAGAATTACAAGTGTTGGCGAGGATGTGGAAACACTGGAACTCTTGTATACTGGTGGTGGGGATGTAAAATGGTGCAGCCAACTGTGGGAAAAAGTTCGGCAGTTCTTCAAAAAGTAGACTTACCACGTGACCCAGCAATTCTGATCCTAAGTATATGCCCAAAGGGAGTGGAAACAGGGACTCAAACAGGTACAGCAGTGTTTATAGCAGCATTATTCACAGTGGCAAGAAGCTGGAAACAACCCAAATGTTAGGAAATAATGGTAATGGTAACATAGAACATTGTGAACTGTACTTAATGCTACTGAGCTGTGCACTTCAACATGCTTAAAATGGCAAATTTCATGTTATGTGTATTTTACCATAATTTTTAAAAAGAGAGAGAAGTCAAGGGGTAGAGCGTATGATAGGTCACGGGATGCAGGAAAGGAAGGAAGCCTGGGAGAGGCTGGTAGGAAGAATAGGGAATGTTTGAGGGATTAAAGGCTGCAGTGAGGTTGAAGGGAAGGCATTTAGAGAGTAAAATTGAGAGAACTGGAATAATGGCAAGAGGTGTTGACTAATATATTGGAATGTTAGAATTTCAGGAGTAGAATGTTTCCAGGTTCGTAAAGTTGAGGACATGCCCTTGAGTGTGGACTGCTTAAGAAGTGTGGAAAAGGACAGTCTACAGAATTGAACATGGTGAACCCACACAGGAGGGCACCTGGAAACAGGGTTAGAAAGCGAGTCTGAGTTGGATGTCGAAGATTAGTAGATGTCTGTGGTCGAATCTGCAGGAGCCAAAAAGGGAAATGATTTATTTCTACTATATTTCTTAGTTCTGTACTTATATTGCAATGTTGACCCAGAGATTGTTAAATTTCTTTTTATTGGACACATTTTGATAAGCCTGGTAGGTTGCCAGTGGCTAAGCCAGTCATAAAGTTGAGAGATGTAGAAATAGGTTTAGGCAATATTTCAGCTCTTCTGTAGGTACAGAGGTTTTGATTTGATTGTGTGTATCAGGTACAACGAAGGGGGAAAGCATTGGCTTCTTGTTTTTTAAAGTGTAAAAGCATGACTTTAAAGGCCTTTTCTTAAATTTGTTTTGTTTTAGAAGTGTGCACATTGTACTGCTTTAAAAAGTATATATTTTCCGTTAGAATTTGGTCTAGAATTTCGTCCTATGCATCATATTATAATTGTTACAAAATGTATTCAATTTATAAAATAAAAAGTCATTCAGCAAGCCCCATCTAATTAAATCATACTTTGAGATTCCAGTATGCCTCTAATTTTGTTTTCTGTTATGGCAGATCTTTTATTTAGTATAGCCTCTGATTTATAGTGAGTCTCAAAATACTGTTTCTGTCATTCTTAGGAAAACGGGAAATCATTTTCACAACTTCATTAGTTGGCAAGACCTAAGAGCTGTTGAACTTATAAAGTCTTGGAATAATTCCCTCATAATGAAGGTAATCTTTTTCTTATCTTCTGTGGTTTGGATGTTACTATTTTCCCTGTAGATGTCCCTTAACTGTAGGCTTAAGTGTATAATCTCCCACCTGTATTGTTTCAGGACGTTGAGAAGAGAATACACATACGCACGCTCCTCACATCAGTGAAACTCCATAACAGTCACCCAAAAGCATATGAGGTAGACTCAAGTACTTAATTAATTACACTTCAGGAAACCCCGAGGAGGTTTAGGATGGACCAGATATTCTCACGAGAGTGAGATAATTCATGTTGCCATTCTTGGAGAAATAGACAAGATGCAGACTATGTCCAGAAAAAATACAGAAATGTCCAAATTTCATCCTCTTTTGTTATAAATAAAGTGGAGAATGGATATCGAGATGGATAACTAGCAGACTGCCACGAGCTCTTAACCTGATGCCTACCACAGTGGTCGCAAATGACAAAGCTGGTGACCATGACGATGTCAGCAGTGGTGGTGGCAGCGTACGTGTGGGATTGCTGAGTCAGAGGGTAAGACAATTTTCTAAACGTGGCCAAACCTGCAGTATGTGATGTTATAATCAACACTGCGCGTTCCCTGTTGCATATTGCAATAGTACGTGTTCGAATGCCGCACAGCTAAATGCCTCCTCAGCATAGAGTGCCTGTGGCAGATGGTGCTTCAGGGAGTATCTGGAGCATCGGTTTTACTCCAAAACTATTTGGAGACATTAATTTTAGATGAAAACAAACATGAAGATATTATGGAATATATGCATGAGTGGAAGACACTTTTGCCATAATCTCACCCACATTGGTTTTTCTTTTGTTAGTTTAATATACGAAAATGCACCTTGCTTTAATAACTCGTAAGGCTGAGAACTGAGAGGTGCTGTTTACAGGAAAGAGAAATTAAGGAGTCAAAAATAATTATAAGGAAATGTCATGAACTTTGAATGGTATAATTTAAAATTATACTATTTATAATGTGTAATTCTGTATCTTAATGGATAATTTTAGTTTTTAATAGGTCAATTCACCAAACATTTCTTAGATTAGTCAGTGAGGTATTCAAAACTTTTATTCCTTTAAAAATAAGTTTTGACTTTGAAAACATTTACTTCTGTAGGACAAACCCCAAGTCTCAAATGTAAAACTGACTTCAAGCACAAAACTCGGTCTTTAAAGCATTTCATCTACTTGATATTGAGCATGCGCATGATGTAAGCTTTGGCTTCTCTTAGGAGAAAAATGTACACAGACTCTTGGAGTTTAGCACACATGATTCCAGGGCCTGTCTTGACACTGAGAGAACCGTTCCTACTCTGCACTCATCCTATACTGGATGCTTTTTTTCTTTTTTAAGGATTTTATTTTTAAGTAATCTCTACATAGGGCTCAAACTTAAAAGCCCAAGATCAATAGTTGCATGCTCTACCGTCTGAGCCAGCCAGGCACCCCTATGCTGGATGCTCATGGGTTAGTGATTGAGGCTTATGGAATTGTTGAGGGTGTATATGCCAGAGATGAAACCAAAGTCATTCATTTAGCCAGTGCTAGCTCCAAGCAAACTGGTGAAGTATTTGATGTGTGTTGGCAGTCTCCTGGCACCATTGTTTTCCTCTGGTTCTTCCAGCACCCATGCTTCCTCTCACTCTTGTTCTGATTCTTTCTTAATGGTTGCTAAAAGGCTTCTCTTTGCTTTTCGCATAAAATCCCAACTCCTTACCATGGATTGGCCCTGTCTACAGCTCTGACCTCTTCCCAGACCCTTCCTCCCTGAAGCTGCTAAGGATTCAGCTCCAGCTTTGTCAGGGTGGTCTTGTTCTTATAGCACCGAAGCTCTCTCTTACCTTAAGGCCTTCGTACCCTCAGGGGGCTCTCTCCGCCATCATGACTGGATTCTTCTCATCTTCCCGGGTGCAGCTCATATGCCATCTCCTCTGTGTGACCCTTTCCTGCCATCCCATTTATAGAGTAGCATGTCCACACTTCTCTATCCAGTCTCTACCATACTGTCCTTTCTTTCACGGGACTTAGAACATTTCAAAGATTTTTTTTTTTTTTTTTTAAGATTTTATTTATTTGCAGAGAGACAATGAGAGACAGAGAGCATGAGAGGGAGGAGGGTCAGAGGGAGAAGCAGACTCCCTGCTGAGCAGGGAGCCCGATGTGGGACTTGATCCCGGGACTCCAGGATCATGACCTGAGCCGAAGGCAGTCGCTTAACCAACTGAGCCACCCAGGCGCCCCCATTTCAAAGATTTTGAGACATACATTTTTTTTAATTGAAATTTTAATTGAGGTAATTATAGATTCACATGCAGTTGTAAGAAATAATACAGGGATCCCTTATAGGCTTTGCAGTTTCTCTCAATGGTAACATTTTACAAAACTATACTATACTGTCACAACCAGGATATTGACATTAATACAATCTATAGATCTTATTCAGATTTCCCCAGTTTCACTTGTACTTGCGTATGTGTGTGTTATCATTTCTGTACAGTTTTTTTCCTATGTTCATGTATCCACCACCAGAATCAAGATGCTGAATAGTACCTTCATTACAAGGGTCCCTCATGTTGCTCTTTTATAACCACATCCTCTCTCTTCTGTGCACTCCCCACGCTCTTCCCATCCCTCGCTCCTTGCAACCACCAATCTGTCCTCCATTAAATATTTTTTCTCACTTCAAAAATATTATATACGTAGAGTGATGCATGGGGTTTGCTTTTTTCACTTAGTGTAATTCCCTGGAGAATCCAAGTTGTACGAGTATCAATAGCTTGTTTCTTTTTATTGCTGAGTTGTATTCAGTGGTACATATGCATCACCTGTTTAAGGACATCTGTGCAAATTCCAGTTTTTGGCTATTACAAATAGAGCTGTTTTGAAAATCTGTGTACAGAATTTTATGTGAACATAAGTTTTCATTTCTCTAGGATAATACCCCAGGGGTACAATTAATTGCTAGGTCAAATGGTAATTGCATGTTTTGTTTTATAAGAAACTGTCAGTCTTTTTCCAGAGTAGCTGCATCATTTACATTCTCACCAGCAATGTATGAATTATAAGACATACATTTCTTTTTTCCAATTTCAAAAGGGTGATTTTTTAAGAAGGATTTTTTTGTTTGTTTGTTTGGGTTTTTTTAGGGTTTTTGTTTTTTTTTTAAAGGATTTATTTTTAAGTATCTCTCCACCCAGTGTGGGGCATGAACTCACAACCCCAAGATCAAGAGTTGCGTGCTCTACCGACTGAGCCAGCCAGGCACCCCAAGCAGGATGTATTTTTAACCATTAATTTTTTAAAATCATTTTAACCATCAATTATATCTTAGCATTATATCACAATTTAAATAGCAGGATTTCTTTCCCTTTTTTGGTGGCACATTTAATATTGGTTTATTTTACATTCATTGTCTTTTTAGATTATTTCACTTATTGACTTGATTACTTGTCTGTCTCTTCCCATTAGAATGTAAATTTCAAGAAGGCAGAGATTCTGCCTATATTGTTCATTCTGCTTTCTCAAGGCCTAGCACAGTCCTTGGTACATAGAAGGTACTCAATAAATATTTGTTTTTGTTTTTGTTTTTGTTTTTTTAAAGATTTTATTTATTTATTTATTTGAGAGAGAGAGAGAAACAGCATGAGAGGGGAGAGGGTCAGAGGGAGAAGCAGGCTCCCCGCTGAGCCGGGAGCCCGATGTGGGACTCGATCCCAGGACTCCGGGACCATGACCTGAGCTGAAGGCAGTCGCTTAACCAACTGAGCCACCCAGGCGCCCTCAATAAATATTTGTTAAATGTAAAAACAAAATGTTAATTGTTCATATGTTGATTAAAAGTGCAGGTGTAAGAACTCTTCATACTTTTTGTATGCTTCCCCCAGGTATCTGTATTTTAATAGAAGATCACTGAAGGATATTAAATGTAATTTTTTTAATAGAAGAAAGTATAGTGTTCTTAGGAAGGAAGAACCTCTTTCAGTTTGAAGCATTCTTATCATATAACACAGCAGAAGGATTATGGGTGGTCATTTTATATACTTTCAGAAACTCTTATTTTTTAATAAACAGTGCAAAATATAAAGAAACACAGAAGGTTTGAAGGGTATAAACTTCCAGTTATAAGATGAATAAGGTCTGAGGATCTAATGTATAACATGATGACCATAGCTGATAACACTGTATTATATAGTTGAGATTTGGGCGCCTGGGTGGCTCAGTTGGTTGGGCGACTGCCTTCGGCTCAGGTCATGATCCTGGAGTCCCTGGATCGAGTCCCGCATCGGGCTCCCTGCTCAGCAAGGAACCTGCTTCTCCCTCTGACCCTCCCCCCTCTCATATGCTCGCTCTCTCTCGTTCTCTCTGTCTCAAAAAAAAAAAAAATAGTTGAGATTTGCTAAGAGTAGAACTTAAATGCTCTCACCAAAATGAAAAGGAAAAAAAAAATTAAAATGGGGCTCATTGTTCCAAAAAAGGGGACAAGACTGAAATGTAGAGAGAATTGAGTCTATACATTTTCTTGATTGTTGCATTTACTATTTTAATAAATAAACTAAAATCGTTAAATATATACATATATATATTTTTAAATTTTTTTAAGATTTTATTTATTTATTTGACAGAGAGAGAGAGAGAGAGATCACAAGTAGGCAGACAGGCAGGCAGAGGGAGAGGGAGAAGCAGGCTCCCTGCTAAGCACAGAGCCCGATGTGGGAGTCGATCCCAGGACCCTGGGATCATGACCTGAGCTGAAGGCAGATGCTTAACCATCTGAGCCACCCAGGCATCCCTACATATATATTTTTTTAAATGTTTTAGAGAAAGAGAAAGCTCATGTGCGTGTGAGTGGGGAGGGAGGGGCAGAGGGAGAGGGAGAGAGAATCTTTTTTTTTTTAAGATTTTATTTATTTGACAGAAAGAGAGAGCACAAGTAGGCAGAGAGGCAGGCAGAGGGAGAAGCAGGCTTTCTGCTGAGCAGGGAGCCCAATGCGGGACTCGATCTCAGAACCCCGGGATCATGGCCTGAGCCGAAGGCAGATGCGTAAGTGACTGAGCCACCCAGGGGCCCCAGAGAGAGAAAATCTTAAGTAGGCTCCACACCCAGCATGGAGCCTGATGCAAGGCTTGATCTCACAACCCTGAGATCATGACCTGAGCCAAAATCGAGATGGATGCTTAACTGACAAAGCCACTCAGAGCCCCTTTAAATATATATTTTTAGGGGAGGGGTGTGCAATAACAGAGGGAAAAAAATGCAAGTGAATATTTTGTAAAACATTAGTTTCAGAAGCTGAATTGTTCATCTGCATTCTTGTAGTAGGTGGCAGGATAAAGTTTTTGTTTTTTGGTTTTTGGTTTTTTTCAATGACAAACCTTAAAACTCAAAGCTAGTTTTCTATGAAAGGCTTTTTCTTTTTATTTATTTATTTTTTTTAAAGATTTTATTTATTTATTTGACAGAGAGATACACAGCGAGAGAGGGAACACAAGCAGGGGGAGTGGGAGAGGGAGAAGCAGACTTCCCGCGGAGCAGGGAGCTCGATGCGGGGCTCGATCCCAGGACCCTGGGATCATGACCTTAGCCGAAGGCAGACGCTTAACGACTGAGCCACCCAGGCGCCCCAAGGCTTTTTCGTTTTAATTAAAGATTTTTCTTACTAAGAAGTAAATTTTAAACTATATATATTTCATCTTTGATTTAGATAAGTATAGATAGTATTAAATGAAATCATACATCCCAAATTTCAGGTACTTAAGATGTGGGGGAGTTTCCCTTATGGTTTAATACTAACTTCATTAAAAATATATTTCTAACCAGAATATAGCCTTCTTCCTTGACTCTCTACCTTTTATTTTAAAAGACTTTATCTTGAGCTTCTTGTGTTTGCTAAAGAAGGTCATAGTAGATGCGTTACATTTCATGTGTTAGAATACATATGTTAAGGGTGCCTGGGTGGCTCAGTTGGTTAAGCGACTGCCTTCGGCTCAGGTCATGATCCCGGAGTCCTGGGATCGAGTCCCACATCGGGCTCCCGGCTCAGCGGGGAGCTTGCTTCTCCCTCTGACCCTATCCCCTCTCATGCTGTTTCTCTCTCTCTCTCTCTCAAATAAATAAATTAATTAATTAAAAAAAAAAGATTAGAATACATATATTAAAAATTGTCCACTTAGGGGCGCCTGGGTGGCTCAGTTGGTTGGGTGACTGCCTTCGGCTCAGGTCATGGTCCTGGAGTCCCGGGATCGAGTCCCGCATCAGGCTCCCTGCTCGGCAGGGAGTCTGCTTCTCCCTCTGACCCTCCCCCCCTCTCATGTGCTCTCTCTCTCTCTCTCAAATAAATAAATAAAATCTTTAAAAAAAAAAAATTGTCCACTTAGGGTAATACTGCTTTACTTTTCTTAAGTGCTAAAAACACTGTAAGTAGTTGAATTATTTGTTTGTTATTGGGTTTGTTTTCATGTGTGTAGAATTAATATAGAAATATCAAACACCATTAAATGCGTTTTCCTAAAGTATCTTTTTTTTTTAATAGCTATTCCAGAGTTCCTGCCGAGTGCTGCACTTTTTCACTAGAAGTAAACGATTTTTAGCCGTCAGTTTGTTCAGTTTCACAAACCAGCATGTTTCTTTGAGACTGGCCTGGATTTTACAGAACCTGGTTGAGGTAAGGAAAGAGTGTGTGTGTGTGTGTGTGTGTGTGTGTGTGTGTGTGTGTAGACTACAGGGAAGAAAAAAGTAAAGGAATAAAGATAGTAATTTGCTTATCTGAGGGAAAATTAACTATCCACTACATATTGGGATGGAGTACAGGAATCTTTACTCTGTTTTTTTAAACCTTTTTATTGTAAGTCATAACACATACAGAAAACTGAACAAAACAAAAATTTACCACTCAGTGATACATTGTGGAGCAAACATCTGTGTAACACTACTTGAATCAAGAAATAGAACATTGCGATACTGTGTATCACATTTTCTTTTCTTTTTTTTAAAGATTTTTTTTTTTTTTTTTATTTGAGAGAGAGAGAATGAGAGACAGAGAGCATGAGAGGGAGAAGGGTCAGAGGGAGAAGCAGACTCCCTGCCGAGCAGGGAGCCCGATGCGGGACTCGATCCCGGGACTCCAGGATCATGACCCGAGCCGAAGGCAGTCGCTTAACCAACTGAGCCACCCAGGCGCCCCTCACATTTTCTTTCCACTTTTACTTTTTAACTTGTGTTTTTTTTCTCAATACTATAGTTTTACCTGAATTTTTTTGAATTTTGTATAAACGTGTAAATTAATTTTCTTATATTTTCATTGCTATTTAGTGTTCAATGTATGATTTTATCACTATCCATTTATCCATTCTGTTCATGTACATGTGAGTTATTTCTAGTTTGGGGCTATTATGAATAATGCTGTCTTTTGGGGTATATATAAAGGCATTTCTGCTGTATCTATATATGGGAATGGAATTTTTAGGGCATGAATGTGTATATATATATTTTTTTTATTTTTCACTTTTAGTGGGTAATGTAAAAAAATTTCCCACAGTTTTTGATAATTTACATACCCACCATCAGTCAGTGAGAGGACTTCGTATTTCATGTACCATCATAATTGGTATTATCAGGGTTTGTTTTTTAATTTTAGCCATTTTGGTAGGTAAATAGTGATCTCTCATTGTGATTTTAGATTGGGTAATAAAAAAAGAAGATTCACCTGTATGCCATCTACAGGAGAAACATTTCATTTACTTTTTTAAAGATTTATTTATTTGAGAGGGTGTAAGAGGAGGGAGAGGGAGAAGCAGACTCCCTGCTGAGCAGGGATCCTGATGTGATGTGGGACTCCATCTCAGGACCCTGACCTGGACCAAAGGCAGACACTTAACTGACTGAGCCACCCAAGTGCCCCCAGAATATACATTCTTAAGTGCTCATGGAACTTTCTCCAGGATACATCACATGCTACACCATAATACAATCTTCAATAAATTTAAAAGGACTGAAATCATACAAGTATTTCTCTGATAACAAAAGAATGAAATTAAAAATAATTAACAGAAAGATGGGGCGGCTGACTGGCTCAGTCAGTAGCGCATGTGACTTTTTTTTAAATTTAAGATTTTATTTATTTATTTGACAGGGAGAGACACAGCAAGAGACGGAACACAAGCAGGGGGAGTGGGAGAGGGAGAAGCAGACTCCCCGCTGAGCAGGGAGCCCGATGCAGGGCTCGATCCCAGGACTCTGGAATCATGACGTGAGCCGAAGGCAGACACTTAACGACTGAGCCACCCAGGCGCCCCAAGCATGTAACTCTTGATCTCAGGGTTGTGAGTTCAAGCCCCACATTGGGTATAGAGATTACTTAAAAATAAAATCCTTAAAAATAAAAAGAAAGAATTAGCAGAAAGAAATTTGGTAAGTTCAAAAATAAATGGAAATCAAACTGTCCTTTTAAATAACCAGTGGGTAAAAGAAGAAATCCTAAGAGAAATTAGAAAATACTTTGAGATGAATGAAAATGAAAACACAGTATACCAAATCATGTGTTGCGGCAAGATCAGTGTTTAGATAGAAATTTATACGGGGCGCCTGGGTGGCTCAGTCGTTAAGCATTTGCCTTTGGCTCATGTCATGATCCCAGGATCCTGGGATCAAGTCCTGCATCGGGCTCTCTGCTCCGCAGGAAGCCTGCTTCTCCCTCTCCCACTCCTCCTGCTTGTGTTCCCTCTCTCGCTGTGTCTCTCTCTGTCAAATAAATAAATAAAATCTTTTTAAAACATATTAAAAAAAAGAAATTTATAGCCAGACTATATTACATATAGAAATTATATTAACAAAGCATCTAACATTCTAACTTAAGACACTGGCAAAAGGTAGCAAACTGAACCCACAGTAGCAGAAGGGAAGAAATGTAAAGATTAGTGTGAAAATTAATGAAATACAGAATAGAAAAAACAGTTGAAAAAATCAACAAAACAATGGTTTTTCCATGTCTTTTTATTGCTTAGTAATGCATTTCTTTTTATCACTGATTAGTATTTCTTTGTCTAGATGTGTTTCGTTTATCTGATCACTTGTTGGAGGACATATTGTTGCTTCTAATTTTTGGCACTTACAAATAAAGTTGCTGTAAACATTTGTGTACAGGTTTGTGTGTGTGTGTGTGTATGTGTGTTTAATCAGAGAAAGAGAGTGAGCACAAGCAGAGGGAGAAGCAGGCAGCAGGCAGAGGGAGAAGCAGGCTCCCCACTGAGCAGGGAGCCCAATGTGGGGCTCCATCCCAGGACCTTAGGATCATGACCTGAGCTGAAGGCAGCCACTTAACCGACTGAGCCACCCAGGCATCCCTGTATACAGATTTTTGTATAAACATAAATTTCAGCTATTTTGGGTAAATACCTAGGTGTGCAGTTGCTGGATCAGATGATAAGACTATGGTTAGCTTTGTTAGAAAATGCCAAACTGTCTTCCAAAGTGGGTAGACCATTTTACATTTCTACCAACAATGAATGAGAGTTCCTGTTGCTCCACATCCTTGCTAATGTTTGATATCAGGGTTTTGGATTTTAGCCATTCTAATAGGTATGAAGTAGTATCTCATTGATTTTATTTGTAATTCCCTAACATAACAATATGGTGTAGAAATATGACTTTTCTTTCCTTTTCTTCTTAAACATTGACAAGGACTTCTAGGATATAGTGCATGACTATTAATTCTAATATCTGTAGCCTCATGGGCTCTGTCTTTCTCTCTCTCTTTTCTTTTTCATGTTCTCTTGTTTCCTTAGATGCCTGATTATTTAATTTCTTTTTAATTTAAACTACTTGATGTATGATTAACATACAAAAAGCTGAAAATATTTAGTATATACAACTTGATGCGTTTGATGAGCTTGGTTACTTACTTGTATGCATGTGTATGTATATCAGCTAGACATTGTATTTGCAAAATTATGTGTAGAAATTGAGAGCCTTAACATTAACACTATCTTGCTCTGGACAGGAATTATGTTTGTTTCTTCCATTCTTCTAGGCACCAGGATTACAGCAATCTAGTTTAATGATTGAGGTGATTCAAAACTGAGCTGCATTTCCTATGAGAGCCTGTCTTTCTAGCTTACCCTTACTCATAGGGTAGAGCCATTTGGAGTCTTAACCCAAAGCAAGGAGGATTGACCTTGATCCTAATCTGAGCCCTAATACTGACTCTGTCTTTGTAGCCTCATATGGACCTACTCCCTATCAGAGGACCTGGCTGTCAAACGTTTTTTGAATGAACAGATGAACTTACTACTTGTCAGGCATTGTTGCTGCTTACTGAAATACAGATTAACCTTTCTCTAATCTGGAACAAATTTTAGAATCACAATTTCTAAATTTAAAAAGAGTTTGAAATAAAGTAATATTACTTTAAGCACTCCCTATGTAAGTGATATAAAGCTTGAATGGAATCTTCAAAATATTTGTTATAAATAATCTACAATGACTTCTTTTTTGGAACTTATGTCATGTGTTTTCATTTTATTGATCTTTTCTACTGTTGAAATAGAATTCATCCTTAAATATATTCGTTTGCTGTTCTTTTTGTCTTTAGGAGATATGTTTTAAGCATCTGCTATATGGCAGGAACCCTCCTTGGTGTTGGGCTTATAATTTAGTTTCTGCTCTTAAGGAGCTTAGGGTCTAACAGGGAGGTAATGACGTGAGATAAGGGCTATCTGGAAGATTCCCATTGAGTGTTGGCTTGGGCAAATCCAGGAACTACTAGTCTTGAAGGACAAATAAGAGTTGGAGAGGTGGTGAAAAATGATGTAGGGCGTTGTTTCCACTATGTTAGTAATATATCAGGGCGCCTTGGGATATTACTCAGTTGGTAAGCATGCAACACTTAAGCTCGGGTCGTGACTTTGCCCCCAACGTTGGGTGTAGAGCCTATTTTAAAAAATAATAATGGAGACGCCTGGGTGGCTCAGTCATTAAGAGTCTGCCTTCAGCTCAGGTCATGATCCTAGGGTCCTGGGATTGAGCCCCTCATCGGGCTCCCTCTCTCACTCCCCCTGCTTGTGTTCCCTCTCTCACTGTGTCTCTCTCTGTCAAATAAATAAAAATCTTAAAAAAAATAAAATTAAATTAAAAAAAATAATAATGATATCTCAACAATCATTTCATTGTCTCTATTAGCTATTTAAAGAGGTTGTGATATGTTTGTTTGCTTTGGCATGCTTTATGCTAAGGGTTAGCACGTTTTTTTCTGTAACATGCCAGATAGTCATAATTTAGACTTGTAAAACTACTCTGCCACTATAATGTGAAAACAGCCATAAATAACACATAAATAGGTGAGCATGGCTATGCTCCAGTAACATTTTATCTATGGACCCTGAAATATGAATTTCATTTACTTTTCATATGTCACAAGGTATTCTTTTTTAAAAATCAATTATAAAATTTAAACACCATTCTTAACTTGCTGTACAGAAATAAGCAGTGGGTTGGATTTGAACTGTGATCATAGTATACCACCCCCTGTTTTATTTATTTTTTTATTTTTTTAAAGATTTTATTTATTTATTTGATAGAGAAAGCATGAAAGGGAAGAGGGTCAGGGGGAGGAGCAGACTCCCTGCCAAGCAGGGAGCCCGATGTGGGACTTGATCCCAGGACTCCGGGATCATGACCTGAGCTGAAGGCAGTTGCTTAACCACTGAGCCACCCAGGCGCCCCATCCCCTGTTTTAGACTTTATGTAGACATATCCATATGTCTAAATTAAAAATATGTATATTTACTTTGTTTTTTCATCACAAAAGTAACACATGTTTCTTGTAAAATTAAAGCCTTTTATACCTTATAGTAATTGCTTAGAACTGTTTGGAGTATATTTTAAAAATAGTTTATACACACACACACACACACACATATATTCATTCTTATCAAAAAATGGGATTTTATTGTATTTACAATCTTGGCACTTAATTATGCATTTCCTAATTTAGCCTTTTTGAGTCAGTTTTGTGATGTTATGTTTTCTAGGTGCAAAAGGCAATTGAAGAAGATAATTGCTGCTTTGGGACTATTGATACATGGTTATTACATAAGCTCACAAAAGGTAAAGATGATCTGGTAGATCTATCTTTTTTTTTTTTTAAAAGATTTTATTTATTTATTTGACAGAGAGAGACACAGTGAGAGAGAGAGCACAAGCAGGGGGAGTGGGAGAGGGAGAAGCAGGCCTCCCGCTGAGCAGGGAGCCCGATGCGGGGCTCGATCCCAGGACCCTGGGATCATGACCTGAGCCGAAGGCAGACGCTCAACGACTGAGCCACCCAGGCGCCCCTGGTAGATCTATCTTAAGTAACTGAAATTTGACTGATAGAAAAGATTCACCTAAAAAAAGTGGAAGTTACTTTTTTTTCCTTCCTTTGTCCCAAACATACTGCACCTTGGTACCCTAGTAACTACATGTTACAGTAAAGCTAGATAAATTTTAGATTTGTAAGAGGAGGGTGATTTTTAAATTATGATCAGAACTCAAACAGAAGGCAGAAGAACAGTCTTAATTTCAAAAGTGTTAAGACTTAAGTTCGGTAACAAATTTGCTACTTTGCAGCTGGGTAACTATAGGCAATCATAATGCATCTGTGAACCCCTTTCCTTATCTTTAAACTGGGGATCAGAGTGCCTAGGTGACAGTTGGTCAAGCTCTGACTCTTGGTTTTGGCTCAGGTCATGATCTCAGGGTCACGAGATTGAGCCCTGAGGTCAGTCTCTATGCTCCGTGGAGAGTCGGCTTGAGATTCTCTCCCTCTGTTCCTGCCCCAACTCCCGTGCTCTCTCTCTTTCAAATAAATAAATCTTTAAAAGAAATAACAAAATAAACTGGGGATCATGATGTGACAATGTATATGAAAGTGCTTTTGTAAACTATAAACGTTCAAAAAGATTAAGTGGGAAATTGCTTTGGAGACTTTGCACTGGAAATATACATTTTGGAATGAATTTGAGGCCAGACAAAGGTTTAGATTATAAACTAGGGACAGTTGTTGATCGATACTACTTGATAATACATTATTTACAATGTAAATTTAGGTTCTGTATTTGCCACGGATTTTTCAAATGCCAGTGCAACTGGACTATTTGACCCTTTTAAGGTAAAGTTGGGTTTTTTTTCCCCCCTTTTGAATCACTGATTTTTGTATAATTTAGCTTGGCTTCTGATGACACATTTTTATGCTTAGATGTGTTGGAACCGGCTCCTTACTTCCATGCTTTCGATACCACTGTTTATCCTGCCTCCTGTGAGGGATACGAGGTAATGATGAACATCAGATACAGAAACCAGCAAAATTGTCCCTGAATTCATTTTGCCTTAGTGGGGAAAGCATTTTATCATTTGTCTGACATCCTTGTATGTTCATTATATAACATTTTGGTCTATGTGAAAATCAGTTTGCTGAATTTTAGTATTAATATTTCTAGAGCTATGACTCACTTCTTAATCAATTTTCTTTGAAGCCATAATTTTGGATCCGTGGATGAAGAGTTATTTGGTGTCCCTATACCAATAGCGGCCTTGGTAAGTAGACAACTCAAGCGTTTCTCCATGCATAGTATAAACTAAATAATGTATATGAATAGTTGAGATTAGATTTAAGAGACATGAGAGGGGGGCACCTGGGTGGCTCAGTCGTTGAGCGTCTGCCTTCGGCTCAGGTCAGGATCCCGGGGTCCTGGGATCGAGCCCCGCATTGGGCTCCCTGCTCCGCGGGAAGCCTGCTTGTCCCTCTCCCACTCCCCCTGCTTGTGTTCCCTCTCTCATTGTGTCTCTCTCTGTTAAATAAATAAAATCTTAAAAAAAAAAAAAAAGCATGAGTCTTGGGGCACCTGGGTGGCTCAGTCGTTAAGCGTCTGCCTTCGGCTCAGGTCGTGATCCCAGCGTCCCGGGATCGAGCCCCACATCGGGCTCCCTGCTCCGCGGGAAGCCTGCTTCTCCCTCTGCCACTCCCCCTGCTTGTGTTCCCTCTCTCTCGCTGTGTCTCTCTGTCAAATAAATAAATAAAAATCTTTTTTCTTAATTTTTTTTAATTATTTTATTTATTTATTTGAGAGAGAGAGATTGAGAGACAGAAAGCATGAGAGGCAGGAGGGTCAGAGGGAGAAGCAGGCTCCCTGCCGAGCAGGGAGCCCGATGCGGGACTCGATCCCGGGACTCCAGGATCATGACCTGGGCCGAAGGCAGTCGCTTAACCAACTGAGCCACCCAGGCGCCCAATAAAAATCTTTTTAAAAAAAAAAGATAGGGGGCGCCTGGGTGGCTCAGATGGTTAAGCATCTGCCTTCGGCTCAGGTCATGATCTCAGGGTCCTGGGATCGAGTCCCACATCGGACTTCCTGCTCCTTGGGAGCCTGCTTCTCCCTCTGCCTCTCTCTCTCTCTCTGTCTCTCATGAATAAATAAATAAAATCTTAAAAAAAAAAAAAAAAAAAAAAAGATAGGGGCGCCTGGGTGGCTCAGTCATTAAGCGTCTGCCTTCGGCTCAGGTCATGATCCCAGGGTCCTGGGATCGAGCCCCATGTTGGGCTCCCTGCTCCGCGGGAAGCCTGCTTCTCCCTCTCCCACTCCCCCTGCTTGTGTTCCCTCTCTCGCTGTGTCTCTCTCTGTCAAATAAATAAATAAAATCTTAAAAAAAAAAGAGAGAGAGACATGAGAGGTCCTTGCAGAATAAAATTAAAGTACTTTTTTCTTTTTAAGTTAATGTGCCCTGGATATAATCAGGAGTATTTTCTATATCCCGGAAAGGAGACCACAGGGCCACTCTTCTGACATGAAAGCTCTAATCTTTTCTGACTTTTGTATATATTGTTTTTCAGAAAACTGTTAAGTTTTTTTTTTTTTTTTTTTTAAAGATTTTATTTATTTATTTGAGAGAGAGAGAATGAGAGAGAGCACATGAGAGGGGGGAGGGTCAGAGGGAGAAGCAGACTCCCCGCTGAGCAGGGAGCCCGATGCGGGACTCGATCCCGGGACTCCAGGATCATGACCTGAGCTGAAGGCAGTCGCTTAACCAACTGAGCCACCCAGGCGCCCCGAAAACTGTTAAGTTTTTTAAAAATGTTGTATTCTGAGTAATGTGTGGTTTATATTTGATACTCTTGAGACAAAAAAACAGGGATAGGGCCATTGCTTAGTTTGTATTTGATACAGTATAACCAAACAATGACAAGGCACTTTAAAGTAAATAAATTGTTGTATTTCTATTTTATAAATTCCTTAGCCAGCATATACTAGTAGAGAAACTGTAGAAGAGTGAAAAATTAGCTGTTTCAGGTTTTTGAGGTTCTTTCTTGATTGTACTCTTTATGTCTGGATGAAAGATCTAGAACTTAGAGAATCTCAAGGATTTGCCACCTGGTTGAGGGGCTCTATGGAAACTCTGACCTTTCTGACCTTGACTTTGATTTCCTGTAATAGCTTACGCAGGACGTATAGACCATCTTTCCCTAGTTGGATGATTGCCACAGTAGGTGGAGAAATCAGGTAATCCCACGTTACAAATTTCTCATCATTTAGAGAGGATCAGTCTTATTCAATTTAATGGTAGGCTAAGGTTTAGATAAAGGTATGGCTGGAACAATTGAAGTTTAGTGACAAAGTGTTGTTTTTTTTTTGTTTTTTTTGTTTTGTTTTGTTTTGTTTTATTTATTCATGAGAGAGAGAGAGAGAGGCAGAGGGAGAAGCAGACTTCCCGCAGAACGGGGAGCCCGATGCGGGACTCGATCCCAGGACTCCGGGACCATGACCTGAGCTGAAGGCAGACGCTTAACCATCTGAGCCACCCAGGCGCCCAAAGTGTTCTTTAGATGAGTTTTGGTCCTTAAAATATTTCTTTACATTGTTAAAAAGAAGGGTGCCTGGCTGGCTCTCTCGGTGGAGCAGGTAACTCTTGATTTTGGGATTATAAATTCGAGCCCCACGTTGGGTGTAGAGATTACTTAAAAATAAAATCTTTAAAAAAAAAGAAAGAAAGAAAAAGAAAACAACAGGCCTAAAATGGCAGCCTAAGTTAGTAAACCAAGACTTAATACCTTCCCTAACTACAGTTTCAACCCCCCAGAAATGTAACCCTTAAACCAGTCAACATGGGAATTTTTCATTGGCACTAGGAAATTTTCTGATAGGCTCCTTCCATTCCCCTTAGGAGGGCAACCTTATCTAAAACAATGGATTTTTTTTGCTAATAATTTCCTTTTTCCCATTCCCAATCTACCTTTAAAAATCTTTCCTTTTCTGGGGCACCTGGGTGATTTGGTCAGTTAAGTGACCAACTCTTGATCTCAGCTCAGGTCTTGATTTCAGGGTCATGAGTTCAAGCGCCACACTGGGTGTGGAGCCTACTGGGTGTGGGAGTGGGTGTGGAGCCTACTCTAAAAAAAAATCTTTCCTTTTCTGTAGCTCTTTGTAAGTCCCCAGACTTGCTAGATGGGGTGCTGCCCGATTCATGAATTGATTAATAAGGCCAATTAGATTTTTAAAATTTTACTCAGTTGGGGGTGCCTGGGCGGCTCAGTTGGTTAAGAGTCTGCTTTCAGCTCAGGTCATGATCTCAGGGTCCTGTGATTGAGCCCCGTATTGGGCTCCCTGCTCAGCAGGGAGTCTGCATCTCCCTCTGCCCCTCCCCACCTCTTATGCGCTCTCTCTCTCTGTCATTCTCTCTAAAATAAATAAATAAAATCTTTTAAAAAAGAAAGAAAAGAGAAGAAAATTTGCTTGGTTGAATTTTTGTTATTTAACAGATTTGGTGGCAGGCAGCAACAAGATCCAAAGTGAACTTCCAGCAGCATTTGGGGACAATGAGAAATACAGGCATGGTACCCCATGAACCCTTTGAATGCATGTGTTTCTTGCTGCTCCTGAGGGCTGTGGGTAAATTCTCTCTTGGTTCCGAGCTCCACTCTTTGTTCATTTAAGCTCCCCAATCTAACTGGCTTTCCTTTACAGCCTGAGCTGCCAGATGGTTATGAGCTGGTTTTGCCTAGAGTCCCACTGAGCTGGCCAAGTGTCTGCCCAAAGCCAAATCCCTAGCCTTTCAGACCACAGTTCCCCTGGAATTGCTGGAAAACCCCAGCAAGGTTCCACAAGAATTGTTTGTGGTGAGCACAGGGCCTTCTCTTGGCGGAGACACAGTAACATCTCTTGGTTGTTGCTTATACATTAAGGTGCACATATTTGTCTTGTTTTGTCTAGATAAAGGCCATTGGTAAGAGGGATCTCAGAGACCAAAAAACTGGAAAAATTGGTAGGCACAGGGTGAGCATTTGAAGGCTATTAGAGCTCTTGCCACCTCAAGAAAATAGAGTAAGTTGGGGCGCCTGGGTGGCTCAGTTGGACAATGTCTGCCTTCAGTTCAGGTCATGATCCCAGGGTCCTGGGATCGAGCCCCACATCGGGCTCCCTGCTCCGCGGGAAGCCTGCTTCTCCCTCTCCCACTCCCCCCTGCTTGTGTTCCCTCTCTCACTGTGTCTCTCTCTGTCAAATAAATAAATAAAATCTTTAAAAAAGAAAAGAAAAGAAAAGAAAATAGAGTAAGTTGATCACAGAATGGGTTAGGTTGATCGAAGTTCACCCACCAACCTCAAGAAAACCTCTGTGCTGTAAAACATATAAGATCCCCAACCCAGTGTCCCATCTCTGGCATTACCTTGGCTCTGAGAACTCCAAAGTCTTAGCTAATGAAATCCTTAAATTCTAAACAGTCAAGCATGCCACCTTCCAGCACACCTGCTTATTTTATGTCTAAGAACTATAGTCTTAGAAGTTGTAGATATCTCGCAAAAGTGGCAAAATCTTACTTAGCTTGTTTTGCGTCCTGAGGAACTTGGCTCAGTAACTGTCAGGTTGAGGGTCCCTAAATAAGGCCAGACAGAAATATGAGTTGCACCCCATTTGCAGCTAAATACGGCTGAACAGAAATGTGGGTTAACTCCATTTGTGCCTAGAATCCTACCAAACTGCTTCAGCCTTCAGGGGAATTACAACCTAGAAATACAGTGGTTGTTATGGGGACCGTTCCAATTAGATAAAATCATTTAAGAAGTACACTTGAAAGCAAGGATTCCCAAATTAAACAGAATAAGATACTTGTTTTAATTGGCAAGCAGAAGCCTCCAAAAGGTTTTAAAATTCCCACATTGTTTCATTAAAAGACTCATTGCGAAAGGCTAGTGAAAAATTAAAGAGAGAAGAGGTACCCAAAACAAAAGACTCTAAGACTGACATAACTCCCGCTGCTCCCAGCTCCCCTCTCTCCCCCTTGGAGTACTTGTTCTACTAATCCTCTGTCTCACTTGGTTTTCCACTCTGAGAAGACTCCACAACCGTAAACAAAACTTCACCACATTGGGGCCCCTGGGTGGCTCAGTTGGTTAAGTGACTGCCTTCGGCTCAGGTCATGATCCTGGAGTCCCTGCATCGAGTCCCTGGATCGAGTCCCGTGTCGGGCTCCCTGCTCGGCAGGGAGTCTGCTTCTCCCTCTGACCCTCCCAACCCTCCCCCCTCTCATGCTCTCTCTCTCTCAGT